GTGAAAGATTAAAATACCATCACAGAGACGCAGCAGCTTTGTAATTATGATGACCAAAAAAAAAAGAACGAAAATCTATCAACTGTGGACGTGTTGAGGCCAGATAAACATCAGCCAATAGAAAACGAGGCTCCCTCATTTTCTATTGGCTGTTAGGGTTGTCAATCAAACTCCCTAGTGTAACTGACTCGTCGGAGCGCGGGGATTACGTGGTTTACGCAGCGGTTCTTAGAGGCTTTTTCGAACTGTCGCTTCCTCGCATTTCGCGCAAAGTTTGTCGCGACGGCGGACGAGAATCCACGACCGGTTCGCCGCGAAAGAAAGTCCGTTTTTGAGGTCGCTGAAAGAAGAAGAGAAGAGGAAAAGGAGCGAAGCCAAACTGAGGTGATTCTTGGAGATCTCGTCCAGCGATGGCGCGACCGAAGCAGACGAAGGGTCTAAAAACTGACGCGTCGGTCGCTGAATTACTTCTAGACAGGAAACTTCAACAGTAATTCTGAACGCGCACAAGGACTGTCGCTGTATTTCTCTTCCCTTAAAATAATCCTCTATACAACCTTTAAGTCCACCTGGTGCCCTAGTGCTAATATGGATTGGTGTACCTTTGAGATGTAAGTGAGAAGTTGGATTAAGACAATTTTTACAACCAGCTCATGTACTTGGCTCCCGGATCTTGTTAAGCCCATGATGTTCATTTTGTCTTCTTATCTACTTTAACTTCTTGGGTTCTTTTTAAAGACAATACAGTAAAGTGTGATTTATCTTGTTGACATGTTTCTGCTGCTGCATCTTCAGAACTGTTCTCGGTGTTGGTGGTGACGTGTCGTATATCAGCTGTTGTTACTTCCTGTGGGCGTGGTCAGACCTGGTGGACCTGCAGGTCGCTCAGACTGACCACGCCTCCCGATGTTCTCTGGAGGAGGGTGTCCCAGCGACACAGACTCTCTGTGGAGGGGTTCACATTGATGCAGACGATTTGACACTGGACCGTAAATTGGGGTTAAATGGTGTTATAGTGTTTATATTGTTATAGTGTTAACAGTGTTTATAGTGTTTATATTGTTATAGTGTTAACAGTGTTAATATAGTGTTTATATTGTGTTATAGTGTTTATAGTGTTAATAATGTTGTGTAATAGTGTTTTATATTGTTATAATGTTAATAGTGTTATATTGTTATAGTGTTTATAATGTTGTGTTAATAGTGTTTTATATTGTTATAGTGTGTTAAGTGTTAATAGTGTTAATAGTGTTTATATAGTGTTATATTGTTTATAGTGTTTATTGTTTATGTAATAGTGTTTTATAGTGTTTATATGTTATAGTGTTTAATAGTGTTAATAGTGTTTATAGTTTTAATAGTGTTTATAGTGTTAATAGTGTTTATATTTTATAGTGTTAATAGTGTTTATATTGTTATAGTGTTAATAGTGTTATAGTGTTTATAGTGTTTATAGTGTTAATAGTGTTTATATTGTTATAGTGTTTATAATGTTGTGTTAATAGTGTTTATATTGTTATAGTGTTAATAGTGTTAATAGTGTTTATTAATAGTGTTAATAGTGTTTTTATTGTTATAGTGTTAATAGTGTTAATAGTGTTTATATTGTTATAGTGTTAATAGTGTTTATAGTGTTTTTATTGTTATAGTGTTAACAGTGTTAATAGTGTTTATATTGTTATAGTGTTAACAGTGTTAATAGTGTTTATATTGTTATAGTGTTAATAGTGTTTTTATTGTTATAGTGTTAACAGTGTTAATAGTGTTTATATTGTTATAGTGTTAATAGTGTTTATAGTGTTATAGTGTTTATATTGTTATAGTGTTAATAATGTTGTGTTAATAGTGTTTATAGTTTATAGTGTTATAGTGTTAATAGTGTTTATAGTGTTTATATTGTTATAGTGTTAATAATGTTGTGTTAATAGTGTTTATAGTGTTAATAGTGTTTATAGTGTTTATATTGTTATAGTGTTAATAATGTTGTGTTAATAGTGTTTATAGTGTTTATATTGTTATAGTGTTAATAATGTTGTGTTAATAGTGTTTATAGTGTTTATAGTGTTTATATTGTTATAGTGTTAATAATGTTGTGTTAATAGTGTTTATAGTGTTAATAGTGTTTATAGTGTTTATAGTGTTATAGTGTTAATAGTGTTTATAGTGTTTATATTGTTATAGTGTTAATAATGTTGTGTTAATAGTGTTTATAGTGTTTATATTGTTATAGTGTTTATAATGTTGTGTTAATAGTGTTTATAGTGTTAATAGTGTTTATAGTGTTTATATTGTTATAGTGTTAATAATGTTGTGTTAATAGTGTTTATAGTGTTAATAGTGTTTATAGTGTTTATATTGTTATAGTGTTAATAATGTTGTGTTAATAGTGTTTATAGTGTTTATAGTGTTAATAGTGTTTATAGTGTTTATATTGTTTATAGTTTTAATAATGTTGTGTTAATAGTGTTATAGTAGTGTTAATAGTGTTTATATTGTTATAGTGTTAATAATGTTGTGTTAATAGTGTTTATAGTGTTAATAGTGTTTATAGTGTTTATATTGTTATAGTGTTTATAATGTTGTGTTAATAGTGTTTATAGTGTTTATAGTGTTTATAGTGTTTATAGTGTTAATAGTTCAGTAGTGCATACATGAGCTCATCGGTGCTGGAGCTGCTCCGGTTGTTCTGCAGAGTTTTCTTGTTGTGTTTTCTTATTTTAGTGTTGCTGACGTTGTTGGGACTTGGTGTGTGGAATGTGTCAGGTTGTGTGTTGTGCTCTGATAGTTATAGTTCCGCCAGTAGTGACCAAAATGTTTCTGGCCTGCATTTAATACATATTTTTATACTTTTGGCCTAAGCAACCCCAACAAAAATGTTACCACCAGCCGCCACTGCAACAGAATGTTATTTTCGGAGAGACAACGAGACAAAGAGACGCTCTCCCTCTTTCTCTGGTTCTAAAAATGTTCCTCTTCCAGAAACGAAAATGTGAGACAAAAGGAGAGGAGGGAACGTTTGGTGTGAAAATCCTACAGAGTCATAAGTCCACGTCCAGAACACACTCACTGACCGTTCACAAGGAGAAAGACACAAAAAGTCACTGAGTGCGTATATATGCACATCAGTATCCCGGTTATTAGCCATATCCCGGTTCTGTCAGTGTTCGTGTTACTGTGTTTACATGTGCACTGAGAAACCGGGACACTCATATCCCTGTGTACATGATCAAATGGAGTATCCCGGTTTCTTGACATAATCTTACAAATGCGCAGGCGCAAAAATGAACTTAAATCAATTTCATAAACCAGGAAAAATACCAGGAAAAGTAGCTCCTTAGCTTCTTTAGCATAAGAAGCTAAGGAGCTACGAGATCTCCCACAATCCACTGCACACATCAAACCTACAGATTCTTCATTAAAATCTTCTGCATAAATAAACTCAACTTTACATCATATAAACCATAAACACTATAGACACATCAGCCCGTTTGATCAGATCATTCAGCTGTGATCACATTTGTTTACGTTTTACAGAAACGAAACTTAAAGGTTGTATGGAGGATTTTTTTTTTTGTTTCAGATTGTCAACAATAGTTTAAAATACCATTACAGAGACGCAGCAGCTTTGTAATTATGATGACCAAAAAAAAAAGAATGAAAATCCATCACCTGTGGACGTGTTGAGGTCGGATAAACATCAGCCAATAGAAAACGAGGCTCCCTCTTTTTCTATTGGCTGTTAGGTCGTCAATCAAACTCCCTACGTTTCTAGTGTAACTGACTCGTCGTCGCGCGGGGATTTCGTGGTGTATGGGGCGGTTCTTAGAGGCTTTTTCAAACTGTAGCTTCGTCGCATTTCGCACAAAGTTTGTCGCGATGTCGGACGAGAATCCACGACCAGTTCGCCGCCAAAGAAAGTCCATTTTTGAGGTCGCTGAAAGAAGAAGAGAAGGAGAAAAGGAGCGAAGACAAACTGAGGTGATTCTTGGAGATTCCTTCCAGCGATGGCGCGACTGAAGCAGACAAAGGGTCTAAAAACTGAAGACGCGTCGGTCGGAATTATTTCTAGACAGGAAACTTCAACAGTAATTCTGAACTGGCTGTAAACAAATGTGATTTCTAAAGTAAAGAGGCGGGAGGAGATGTTTCTACTGAGGAGCTGTGGAGGAGGAAGGTGGTGTCACACATGCACAACATTTGAAAAATTATTTCTCTTCCCTTAAAATATCCTCTATACAACCTTTAAGACCGTTTGGCTAATTAGCATAAACTGTTAGCGGCGATAAAAACAACTCGCTCCTTGCGCCGCTGATGCGATCAGTTTCTTTTGGACTAAATGACACGACTCTGTGGATTATGTGTGTTATTTCTGTGACAGAAGAGGTGCTGATGATGGTGAGTCTGTTCTGTGTGTGTGTTGTACAGGAGATAGTTCATGTTTTAGCTTTTCAGCGTCACACGAGTGCAGGTCGTACGAGTGCAGCAAGTGCGGTCGCACGAGTGCAGGTGCACGAGTGCAGGTCGTACGAGTGCAGGTCGTACGAGTGCAGGTTTAGTGCAGCTCTTTAATTTTACAGTCATTTCACTCGTTTGGTCACTATTATTTATGTTGGTCAATTTATTTATGTCACTACTGTTGTGGTGAAAGGCTGGAAAGTGTCTTTTGGACGCATGCGACTCAACTTTATGTTGCAGTAACCGGGATACTGCGTTTACATGCCACAAGTATCCCGGTTACTATCGGAATAAACCAGCTACAGTAACACGGTTTCTAATAACCAGGACACTGCCATAACCGGGTTACTGCGTTTACATGCACCATCAAGAAACCGGGATACTCAAAAAACCCGATCATAACCGGGTTATTGATGTGCATGTAAACACACTCACTGCTAAAGAAGCTCAGATGTGCTGTTGTCCAGGCAGATTCCGAGAAACCTGAGTGGAAGAAAAACGCGTTACTGAAATATTTACGCAACCTCTTTTGTTTTTTTTTGCAGGGTTTATTTGGGCGGAGATAAAGGAGATGTGGGACGGAGGTTTCACTGAGTACATCCACGACTGGTGGAACCTGATGGACTTTGCCATGAACTCCCTGTACCTGGCGACCATCTCCCTGAAGATCGTGGCCTACGTCAAGGTAAAGACGAGACCTGCACATAAGGTGGAGGGTCTTTCTTCTTCACCTGGAATGTCCCACAGTGGGGCATTAAACATGTCTTCGTTGCATTTGTTTGATTAAAAGTGTTTTATAGCTCGAAATTACCTCAAAAACATAAAGCTTTACCACGTGCAGGCTTGCCTCTCCACAGATCTGACCATGAACCTGTCTCTACTGTGATAACCAAGTTTATTTCCATAGTGTGGAGTAATTGAGGCAAAACTGTAACATATCCACAGAGTCCTGGTTTAGTCCTGGTTCAGTCCTGGTTTAGTCCTGGTTTAGTCCTGGTTTAGTTCTGGTTCAGTTCTGGTTTAGTCCTGGTTTAGTCCTGGTTTAGTCCTGGTTTAGTCCTGGTTCAGTCCTGGTTTAGTCCTGGTTTAGTCCTGGTTTAGTCCTGGTTTAGTCCTGGTTTAGTCCTGGTTTAGTCTGGTTCAGATTCTGGTTTAGTCCTGGTTCAGTCCTGGTTTAGTCCTGGTTTAGTCCTGGTTTAGTCCTGGTTCAGTCCTGGTTTAGTCCTGGTTCAGTCCTGGTTTAGTCCTGGTTTAGTTCTGGTTTAGTCCTGGTTTAGTCCTGGTTTAGTTCTGGTTTAGTCCTGGTTTAGTTCTGGTTCAGTTCTGGTTTAGTCTGGTTCAGTCCTGGTTTAGTCCTGGTTCAGTCCTGGTTTAGTCCTGGTGTAGTCCTGGTTTAGTCCTGGTTCAGTCCTGGTTTAGTCCTGGTTCAGTCCTGGTTTAGTCCTGGTTTAGTCCTGGTTTAGTCCTGGTTTAGTCCTGGTTTAGTCCTGGTTTAGTCCTGGTTTAGTCCCGGTTTAGTCCTGGTTTAGTCCCGGTTTAGTCCTGGTTCAGTCCTGGTTTAGTCCCAGTTTAGTCCTGGTTTAGTCCTGGTTTAGTCCTGGTTCAGTCCTGGTTTAGACCTGGTTTAGTCCTGGTTTAGTCCCGGTTTAGTCCTGGTTTAGTCCTGGTGTGGTCCTGGTTTAGTCCTGGTTTAGTCCTGGTTTCGGTCCTGGTTTAGTCCCGGTTTAGTCCCGGTTTAGTCCTGGTTCAGTCCTGGTTTAGACCTGGTTCAGTCCTGGTTTAGTCCTGGTTTAGTCCTGGTGTCCTGGTCCTGGTTTAGTCCTGGTTTAGTCCCGGTTTAGTCCTGGTGTGGTCCTGGTTTAGTCCTGGTTTAGTCCTGGTTTAGTCCTGGTTCAGTCCTGGTTTAGTCCTGGTTTAGTCCTGGTTTAGTCCTGGTTCCTGGTTTAGTCCTGGTTTAGTCCTGGTTTAGTCCTGGTTGAATGAATGATACACAGATTGTTATTATTACTTCATGTGTAGTATTTATTTATTTATTTATTTATTTATTTATTTATTTATGTATTTATTTATGTTTCGGTCATAGTCACAGGCAGAACATGCAGCGTGTAACATTATTTACAGTTTAAAATCACATCTTGAATCATGTTCTCGTGTTTGCGACGCTGCAGAGACGATCAGAACACATTCAGTGGAGACATTCTCAACTTGACATTATTACTGATTGTACGTTAAGCTGCACTGTGGAACTTTTCTGCTGGAGGCTTGTCTCCATGACGATGTTATGCCTTTGTCTGGAATGTCTCACAGTGTGGCATTAAGGGCGGCAGTAGTTCAGTTGGTGGAGCATTCGCCCACTGATCTGAAGGTTGCTGGTGTGATTCCAGCTCCCACAGATGAATGCTGTCGTTGTGTCCTTGGGGCAAGACACTTAACCCACCTTGCCCACAGTGTCTGTGTACACTGGTGTGTGGTGTGTGTGTGTGTGTGAATGTGTGTGTGTGAATGTGTGTGTGACTGGGTGAGTGGTTCCTTGTTGTAAAGCGCTTTGAGCCTTGAAGGTGGAAAGCGCTATAGAAAAATGTGACTATTTAACATTTCTATCTTCACGGAGACAAAACCAGACCAAGTGGATCTGTGGAGAGGCGACCCCGCTCAGTCACAATGTTTGTTTTTTAAGTATTTTTGAGCTGTAAAACCTGCACCTGTAACTGAATAAATGTAAAGTAGAGCTGTTTAAAGTCACACTGTGGAACATTCCAGGCAGAGAAATGACGTATCCATAGAAACAAGCAGGTGATGAGCCCCCATCCGAAAAGTTACACAGTGCACCTTTAACAGAAAGTATGCATCAAGCCAATGATGTTCATTATGTCTTCTTATATACTTTAACTTCTTAGGTTCTTTTTAAAGACAATGCAGTACAGTACAGTTCTGAAGATGCTTGCATCTAGCAGCCGAAACATGTCAACAAGGTAAATACACTTTACTGCATTGTCTTTAAAAAGAACCTAAGAAGTTAAAGAAAGTGTGCATGTTTTTCTCTGTGGACGTGTCTAGAGGTTAGCGCATTTCCACACAGAGCAGGGCTCTGAATAGTTCCACTTTGTCTTGAAAATCTTTTAGCCCTTTGGAGCGTTCAGACTCTGAAATGTTATTGAGACTCAACATTACATCTGAAAGTTTGAATTTTAAATTCAGAAAACAAGCCATTTCTCTCTTTTTTACATACACACACTGCAGTTTCCCTCCATATTCTCCAAGACTTTCAAGATTTCCTCCAGTTTAATTTTCAGATTCTGGATGATTTGTCTGAACTCGTTCAACAGAGCCTCAGATTTTTTTTTTTTTTGATACTCTTTGTTTTAAGGACTCCAACCCCAACACACCCCACTCCTCCAACGAGTCCGGTCAGAGCTCCTAAACTGATCCCTGCCGTAAAGACGTCTAGAACCACGCTCGCTCCGGTCGCCACCATCACCATAAATTTGCCCTTTTTCACCTGGTTTTCAAGGCGTTGTGCCTTTGCATTACACGACTCCATTTCATCTGTGACTTCCTCAAGTCTCTGTCGATAGGTGTCGTAGAGCTCGAGGAAGTCTGCAAAGTAATAGTGTAGGAATCGCCACAGTTGAACCACGACTGGCATAGTTGAAGGAGCCGCTTTCCCTTCTGCATAAAAGATAATTTTCTTAATCAGACGGGGAAAAAATACATGGGAATAACAAAAAAATAAAAATAAAAAACTGTAAGAGCCCAGGCTACATACAGTTCCTTTAAAGGTTGTATAGAGGATTTTTTTAAGGAAAGACAAATCCAGCGACAGTCCTTTTTCAAATGTCGTGCATGCGTGACTCCACCTTCCTCCTCCACAGCCTCGAGAAATAATTTAGAGACCGACACCTCAGTTTTTAGACCCTTCGTCTGCTTCAGTCGCGCCATCGCTGGAAGGAATCTCCAAGAATCACCTCAGTTTGTCTTCGCTCCTTTTCTCCTTCTCTTCTTCTTTCACGACCTCAAAAACCGACTTTCTTTTGTGGCGAAACTGGTCGCGGATTCTCGTCCGACATCGCAACAAACTTTATGCGAACTGCGAGAGAGAAAAAGCCTCTAAGACCCGCTGCATAGTTACCGTAGAAACGTAGGGAGTTTGATTGACAACCTGACAGCCAATAGAAAATGAGGCAGCCTCGTTTTCTATTGGCTGATGTTTATCTGGCCTCAACACGTCCACAGTTGATAGA